TACCACGACTTTCTTGCAGCTGGCTCATTGGGTAATGAGTCTGCTATGAGAGATGCCTTGCATACGATCATGACGGAGGGTGTTATTAATTCTTTTTAGCGATAGTTGCATTGATTTTTTTTTTCAAAAAGAACTGGCGTTTTCAGGCATTTTAATGGCGTTTACTTACTCAGGTGGGGTTCAATGAGGGAAATTGATAAAGGGGGATGGCAGACAATGTGGGGGAGAGTTTGGATGTGGATGTGGATGTGGGTGTGTGTTGATAGTTGTAATATTGATTGTGAATATAGCGGTATAGGGCTGTAGTCAAATATTGAACGTGTTTCTTGGACGTATGAACTATTCCTTGGATTACAACATATCATCTCATATCCTATCTCACCATCTCCTTTGGAAATCCCACCCCACGCATCTCTCCCAAGTCCAAAACACGTCTACCTCTTCACCCTTCCCGTCCCAAAACCTCCCTCCTCAAACCCCCTCACCCCCGCATCAAGCTCCACAGCCCGCACCCCCTGCAACTCATACACCCTCACCCCGGCCTCTTTTCCCCGGGGAGTTGGACTCCCCATCGGCATTTCAACCCTCCTCCCATACTGCTCACAGTCCATCTCATTCCTAGAACTACCATGGCCTTCTACTTCCTCTACTTTTCCTTCCCCAAATCCTCCTGGCGCCGAGGACGTTTGCAGTTGCAGGATGTGCAGTTTCCGCGCCTGGCGCTTGTACAGGATGGTGAAGAGGGCGGTTATGGCGGTTATGGGGAGGAGGACCGAGGGTAGGATTATAGCGGGGAGGTTTGTGTTTGTGGCGGATGGGGTTGAGGGGGGAGGGGAGGGAGGCGTGCTGGAGGAGGGGGTGGTTTGGGTTTGGGGGGGTTGGGTTATTGTTGCCGTGGCTGTAGCTTGTTGCGTGACTTTGGGAAGGAGAAGGATTAGTTTTGGGTTCGTGATCGTGATCGTGGTGGGAGAAAGATAAGAGAGGGAAAAAAGGGGGGATGCATACATCTTGTCAACTCACTGCTCTTGGCACAATAACTCCCAAACGCCTCAAGCGCACTTTTCACATCGGTCTGCGTCTGCGTCGTTGCCGACGCTGGCCCGGTACTTCCTGCCGTCAAACGCAGCATCGTCGTCGTCGCTGTCGTCGTCGCTGTCGTCGTCGCTGTAGCCGCCTTCCCGCAAGCATCACTCACAGCCGTCGATATAATAGACGCATACTCGGTGCTCGAATCGATGCAGAAACAGGCAAAGGAGGTTAGTTGCGTATCGTCGCCGCAGCCGGAAGCTTGTGCGCGGATGATGGCGCTGACGCGGTCCTGTGCGCAGGGTTTGAGGGATGTGTAGAGTGGGATTTGGTCGATGTAGATGTGTGTTTTCCCGGCTGCGGTGGCGAGTTTGAGGGTTGTGAAGAGGAGGGTGAGGAGAGCGAGGGGGAGGCTGGGACCCATTGAGGTGATGGATTGGGTTCGATGGGTGAGGTGAATATGGCGTATGACCGCGCAATAGAAGGGAAAAAAATGTGAAATCAACAAACTTGGGAGAATACATAACGACGAAAAAGACCAAAAAGGCGCACACTTTTTGGTATAAAGCGACAGGCTCTCACAAGTCACAAAAGCTTCTCGTCAAGCGTGTTCTTTTCCCACCCCCATCACTTCGCACCGCATCGCATGTGCGACGAAAACCTTCCCACATACCTAACTAGTCTGTTCATAAACCCGGGGAACTGCTCGCGTAGACCCCTGCCCAAACACATAGGGTAGGACATGAGACAGGAACCGATGCGTCACAATGGGGGCCTGAAGAGTCTTACAGCTGCTGCAGGGAGCAGGGAGCAGGGAGCCGAAAACTGGAGACGCGGAGGAAGCAGGTGTGCGTTTGGTATACCGGGAAGAGCGTTTAACGTCTAGATTGGGAATGCAGAGCGTAGGCTAGATGTCGTGGGGGCGGAGAATTGGGCTGGCAGACAGCATGCAAAAATACGGAAGAGTTTATTCTTTCTTGAAGAGATTCGTAGATTAGGCCAAGTAAGAATGAAAAGTGGACTTAGGATTTGGAATTCCCATCGTCCATTTATAACGGTACTCTGGACTCATTATTCAAGACTAGTACATGGGGTATGTACAGTACAGGGTCTTGCAGGCATACCTCGCGGCATGGAGCCGTAATAGGTGCGGTGCCTCCCAACACCTCGCCCTGTAAATTGCAAATAAAAAAGCTCCCCATGTCTCACAGCCCAGCTTTCAAAGCCGTGTTCTCCGACGTAATCCTGCCCCATTCCAAAGTCTTCTTCTAAAGCCTTTCCTGCTTGCTCTCATCCTGGCTATCCGGCGAGCTCTGATCTTCCTGCAACAACGTTGAAAAAGCCCCTCTTGTCCGCAAACCTGGGATTAACAGCAAGCTCGACGACATCGATGCCCGCGGGTTGAGCAGTCCGCAATGTTGGCCCCATGGACATTTTTAGCAGGGGTAATAGAGGCTTGAAGACGAACCTTTGCATTCGGTGGAGGCTGGCTGGGGTGTTGCTGGTTAGGGCGCGCGAATCGACCAAGTTGCCTGGGTTGATGGCCACAGCGCTGATCCTGGATAGCGATGCATCCTGAATCTGGTTAGCAAAGCTATGTGGGTTGAAGCGCATGAACCTACATTCTGGAGATATCTGTTGAGGGGATATAACCATGTTGTAACGGCTAATTTTGCAGTAGCATATCTCTGGTACCCGCGCCCTTGCTTATCCGCATCAGCGACGGGCTTGATCAACTCATCCAGATCGCTGGGGATGACGGGAGGATATTTTTCCATCGAGTTCTTGCCTGGCCAGTGTGAGTCGCTTGATAAGAGGACTACACGGCCTTTCTCCCCAAAGCTGCCCAACAGTCGCAGAATGAGGAGCGGAGTGGGCTATGTGGGCAACTTCGATGGTCTTGTCGAAGCCATCTGAGGTGATTTCAGGGTCGCTGACTAGGTTCCAGTAGTAGGTATTGGCAATGATGGCAGCGAGAGGAGGATATTTTCCGGTGGAGATGTCGGAGATGATGCGGTCGGCAAAAGCGTGAACTGCAGATAGATTGGAGAGATCAAGAGCGTCAACCGTGGCTTTTGCGTTGGGGAAACGAGAAATTGTTTCGCGCAATCGAGCTGTGTTTGCGTCGGAGGAAGAAGCATCCCGAACGGTGAAGATGGCGTTGTAGGCTGGATAGGCCGAGAGAAGATGCTCAGCGGCTGGGATGCCGAGGGAACTGTTTGCTCCGGTGAGTATGATGGTTCCTGCCATGGTTATAGACTTGAGCAATTTTTGCAGAATTGAAACGTATTTAGGTAAGTTTTTAAAGATGGGTTGTCCTTTTGCTCGAGGTGAGGGGCGGTTAAACAGGGCGTTGATATGCGGCGTAGCTCCCTGCCAACACCCTCGATACCGGACACCGATTAAGGCAGCCGCAGTGATAGCTTGTATTGATGTACAGTGATCAATGGAGCGATTGGATGGTGGCCCCAAAGAGAGCTGATAAGGCGTTATTGACCGGGTCAGGGTAGGGTGGTTTGCTGGTAGCACAGAAGACATATGCAGTAAATAATCCGCCCCTACAATTTTTGATATGGTCAGTAAAGTTTCCTCTGAAGGGTGTTTGAATGTCTGGAAGTCTGTAGTGTATGATCACTGCAGCCCTTTCACAAGCACGAGCTCTGTTCCTAGTCCGTACCAGGCACGCCCGTGTTATCCTCCTCCAAAATCTCATCGTCCCGCCTCGTTTTTTCCTCGATCACTATAATCGCCTCATATCCCAAAAGGTCTTTCAACATCTTTCTAGCAGTACTCAAAAACGCAGACTCTGTCTTTTCTTCTATGTATCGGTCACTCATGCTTGCTGCGTCTCACTCAACCAAGCCCTGGTCGGAATATTGACTCGCTTTTTCCGATGAAGCTCGATAGAACGACATTCACATCACCGATAAAGTGCCATGGCTTGATTTGTATCGGATTTGTGAGTACTAAGCACAAGCCAGAAATCACAACCAAAATCTCGTTAGGAATGTCAGATACGAGTCATTGCACACCTCGGTCGTGTCTTGATCGTCTTGCGACCGCTGTGATCCTGTCGGTCCGTTCCTCGCATGTGCTACTAGTAGTACGGTTACCTTCGTTCATATAGCTTCCTTACCTATGCAACCTCAAATTAAGCCGGAGGCGGTATTGACGGTTCGCACGTAAAGGGTGGAGGACTCCTTAGGGCTTTGGCTCGCTGTTCGTCCCAACTGTGCCAAGACCGCCATCTCCTATCTGTACTAGCGTGTCCCCTTCCATCAGAAGCCGCCCGGGCGTGCATCAAGTGGGAGTCTGAATAACGTGGAGAGAACCTGGAGAGTAGCCATCTTCCTCATTCTCTTAAGCTTCCGCGGATACCGAATTATAAGTCTGGAGTCCACTTCCTTGAAAGCCCAGCCTGATAGAAGATAGACTGGAGTTATTGGATCTCACAAGATCGGGTCATTCGTCATTCCCTCCGCCGTATTATCGCTGCGTTCCCCCTTTCATCGAAGCCTCCAACATCAAAGAAGGCATCAAAGAAGGAGCGAGAAGCATGGAGCGAGTGTACTTTTGCAGCATGATATGAGCGAGAAGTAAAAAGAGAGCAGAGCCGCAAAATCCAGTCCGTGTCGCATGGCGAATATGGTACGATTGATGGGACGGCCCGGAAGGTATTATATTCCATTAGGAAGTTAAGACTAGACGGTGGAAAGCATTACTCTTCCTAGGGAACAGATTTAGAGGAGGATGATTTTCTGCAGCCTTTGTTCTGGCAGCGTGATGTTCTGTCAACCTTGTTGCTACTCGAAACAACGCAGGTTTGACAAAAATGATTGAAACCAGCTAGGGATGACAATGGCAAAAGAAAGTAATCATACCAAAAAGGTCACAAGAAAAAAGCAAAAAGAAAGAATTTTGAGCCCTACGTGGGGGTCTAGAGGAACTGTTAGCGGGTGATTCGAACTGACGTCTGACACGGTGCAACTTACCGAACCCACAACCTTGAGATTTCACATCGTATACAATCGCTCTATTTAGAAGGTGAAACTTTGTAAGAGTCTCACGCTCTACCGATTGAGCTAGCAAGGCTTTGAATTATGGTGGCTTTCGTGCCTTGGTGAATTTATATATACGGAGAACGACAGATTTTTGAGTGTTCGCCGAGCTAGTGCCGATAGCCTCCACCATCCCCCGACCGAAAAGGAAAATTTTCACTAGTCAGATAAGACTCATTATACCTGATTTAACACGAATAGTCTATTCTACCACGTCTACTTCGAAATGATGTGTGGGACAGCGCGATTCGGCGGCTCGGCCCACGCATATCTGTCCAAGAGACCATTTGTGATTCACTATCATCTTAATTATAAGCGCGAACAGCTATCCCCGCCCCTCTTATTGGCTCAGTACGACTTCACTGCTTCCCCGAAGGGCAAACATGGTAATCCGCCAATAATTAGAAAGAAAATGGACCAAGCCCCCTCTAACACTTTGCCCAGCTTGAAATCCGGAACGAGTTTCTGAAAGATACCATGTGGGCCGTACTTCTTGCTAATAGTCTTCAACTTCTCTAGCGATCCACCATTATAGCTCGAAAATGCATCTTGCGCGGAATGCTAACAGGAAGCGAATGAGCATGCTGAGAAATCCTCCGTCCTTGGGATCGAGATTCATAGGATCGCCGCCATTTTCCTCGCTGCACTGAGACGTTTCGTAGTGATAGGTTCTTCTGCGACTCCAACAAAAGTATTAAATTGAGGAATAAGTTTCTTAGCAACATCGGACAGTTGTGTCGATGACGATGAGCATCGCGTCCTTGCTGAACTTGATGGATGTAACATACCAATTCCACTTCAAAACTCGCGCCAAATAGCCGTTTGTCTGGTTTACTAGCTGGCTGACGTTTTGCACACCACGCCACTAAAGATGGGTCCAATCGATCTTGGGAGGGCGTATCCTGCGTACTCGGCACCAGTGCTCCCTCCAGTGCTCCCTTCACATCTTCGTGACCACCACCAGGAAGCATTCAGATCGTCATAGCATTCGAGAAATCAGCCGAACTCCTTGATAAATTTACATAATTGCCATCCTCTTTTAGAAAATATAGTTCCACATTCAAAGCCCACTCTACACATTTCCTGGTCCGCGTCTCGCAGAAAGGAGCAATGCGCCCTATTCCTACACGTCCCTCATGGGCCAGCAGCCATTCGTAATGCTAAATATGCACGAGAAATATGGCCTTGTGGTACGGTCTGCCCCGAAGGAGCTATCATTCAATATGGCAACTGCGTGGAAGGACATCGATGGTTTCCGTGCCGGTCACAAAACCTTCATTAAAGGCAAAATTTACGGGGCGCACATGGTCTTGCGACCTGCCAAGATCTAGAAAAGCATGCGCGTCAGCGGCGATAGCTTTCGCATACATTCTCTGAGAGTGCGCTACGTGAGCAGGAAAGGCTGATGGCTGAACTTTTGGACTTATTCGTCAACAAGATGGAGAGGTCGGTACACACAAGGATGGGTCGGGTTCGATATCACTGGCAGTTTTGCGTTTGGTCGCACTTGTAACGCAGTGAAGAACGGCGGCAGTCACATTCAATGACAAGACACTACGTCAGATTGCAATCGTGTATTCGATGTGACGGTTTCCATGGCTGTCAAAAATCCTGATGCTTTTAATGCCGACCAAAGTTCAGAAGCTGTTGGATGACAATAAAATTCATGAGGAGTGTACATTGGCGACGATAATTGAGCGGCTGAATGACCGGAACAGACGACCGGATTTTCTCGCCCGGCTAACGGAAAATGGCAGGGAGGAAGAAGTGTCACCCATTTTACTGGCAGCCGATGCGGCTAATATTCTTCAAACTGGAAGTACTCGTGGAAATTCTAGCGGCAGTGAGGGATAGATTCTAAGCGCTTTGAGAACCAAAGCTCGTATCAAAAGAATGTTGCTGGCCGATCTTGCCGTGATTTCAGTGTATGACTTGAATCTTGATCGAATTTGTTCCCTGAGCGCCTCCATGACGTCCAGGCGACGCAGCAGGTAGTAGAAGAGCGTGGTCAAAGTCGTATTGCGCGTATCGGTTCCCAAGGGAGGAGATAGCGTAGAGGGACACTGGATTCCGGCAGGCACCATCATCTCGTACGCAGCTTATCTTTCTCTGAGAACTTTCGGCCGAGAGATAGCTGAATAAGGATCACAATGACCATCTAGACGCATCGCAGCCATGGTCATGCCCAAGAGGATGTATTGGCCAAAAGTAAAGCGCCCTTCATGCACATGGTACCCTAACCGGTTTGACTAACAAACGGCAGCCTAGCGCAGATTAAGATGAATACGGTGATTGCGAAATTGATCCATATATACGATTTTGAATAGATAAACACAAAAATGTACTTGCACCGCGACTGCAAAACGGTACCATATGGGAGAGTCCGCCTTTGGTAGTGAGAGTGAGGCAATGGGGAAAGGCCCGACGGTGATACATAGAGTGCTGGCAAGTGCCGAAAGCCACTACCTACCGTACTAGGCTCGCTTCTTTGGAGTCTTGATCGGCAGGCAACAACATAGAACCCGGTTTCTTTGGAGCGTCACTAGTAAGGGGGTGGGGGCGGGAGCCTCCTATTCGTTAGTTGGTGGTCCATGAATACATATAGATACAGCACTCAGGTTTCCCCCTTATCTATGCAACAGCCACAGCGTGAAAATAATTCACTGTATCGCACACCATCGCAAACTCGCACAATGGGGCTGAACACTTCCTACGATCCTGATAAGGATATCCCCGACCTCTCTGGGAAGGTCATCTTCATGACCGGAGGTATGCCTTCCACTCATAGCCGTACATTCATGGCGTAATGTCTACTGACTATTGTTGAAGGCACTGCTGGTCTAGGCAAAGAGACAATCGCGACTCTCGCAAAACACAACCCGCAACACATCGTTTTTACGGGCCGCAACGCGGAGGCCGCCAAAGCTGTTGTAAGCGAGACGAAAACCACTAGTCCATCGGTCAAAGTGTCATTCATCGAGTGCGACCAAACCTCTCTCGCGTCGGTGAAATCAGCGTCGACGCAATTGCTGGAGCTTGTGGATCGACTGGACATTTTCATTGCCAACGCAGGAATTATGGGCGGCGACCCAGGCGTTTCAAAAGACGGACACGAAATTCAGTTTGCGGTCAACTACCTCTCACACGCGCTTTTCGTCAAGCTTCTGCTGCCAGTGCTTGAGCGCACTGCATCCACCGAAAACAACGTGCGCATCATTCTTCTGTCGTCGGTTGGCTTTAGATTCACCCCGGCCGGCGGGATTGTGTTCAAAGACTTGAAATCCGAGCAAACAAATCTTCCCATCGGCATCATGCAAGCCAAATGGCTTAGATACGGTCAGAGTAAGCTGGCAATGGTGCTTCATGCGCAAGACCTCGCAGAGCGCCACCCTCTCGTTACAACACTGTGCCTACATCCGGGCGCTATCAGCACCGGCTTAATCGAGGACAAACCCATGTTTGACAGGTGGTTTCTCAAGCTGGCTACATTCGGACAGAGGGTTCCTTTGAACCAGGGCGTTTGGAATACGTGCTGGGCAGCAACGGCTCCGGCAGGGGATCAGCTCAAGTCTGGCGATATGTATGAACCAGTCGGCGTGCCGATGAAAGGCACCAAGGATTCAGAGAGCGCTAAGCTGAGGGAGCAGTTGCGGGAATGGACCGAAAAGGAGCTTGAGAGATACTCGCACGAATGACACAGATAGGCATCATTCTGGACAATAAGCAATATCGCCAACGCATGAGGGATCATAACGTGCATCTTGTCGTTGCGGTGTGGTTTTTGCCTTTGTCGGAATTGTTATCGTGGAAAATCCGCCTGTTCTTGATGCAGGCCCACTTTCTATCTGCAGTAATTCTATGGCCTGCGCGACCGACTGCCATCTCTTTCTAGATAATGCGCTATCTATGATATGGTACTCAGCAAGCACCGAGGGATTGATTGCGCACGACACTGGCGGGTGTGTATGTGGATGATCCCGATACAAGGAATAATGAAGCAGCTAAATACAGTTTCCCCCACCGGCTCGGATGCGTAGCGTGGTTTTGTGACTAGGGGCTTCAACCAATTGGATTACCCTAATTACCCCTAGTGAGGCCCGTCAGAGGGATTAGTAGCCGCGTTTTAACCCTGGCAATTAGCATTTTAGGTTGCTTTAGGGTAATCGCAAGGCTTCTCACGTGTCACGTGTTTGTACTTTCCACAGGCACGAGATGATCGAATCGATCGAGCATGCAAACTTTTGGCTGTGATTTGCTTGGTCAACGGTAAGACACTGTCCATATGCGTTAATAGATCTTTGAGTGTCCTCAAGCAGACGAGTTGGAGGACATGAGCTTGGAGGTGGGGAAAAGCTATAATGATTCGCTCATTGCGGTCAGTAAGCATGGAATTCCAGTTGATCGTAAGTAGTTACATACATCTGAAATAGTGTACTCGTACTGATATCAGTCCAGCGTTGAGGCCAGCACAAGTAATCTTGCGGGATATTTGGGACTGCATGCGGGCTCATGACTTCGATCTCGCACACCTAGTCTTGGAACCTACGTTCACCTTTTGAGAGCCTAGAAGAACCGAGAGCATCTTAACATGAAGGGAATTGGAAATTTGCTCAAGTACCGAGAGCGTGGCGTTTGAAAAGTCGGCACCAGAAGCCTCAATGCTGCAACTAATGCAGAGTTCCACCCATTGGTACTATGGTCTCTCATCATGGTCATGGGCATCTGAAGCCGAACTCCGCATTATCGGTATTAAATCTGACTAGCATCCATGAACTCTATTCCTGTAGATGTATTGATGAAGTGCAGTGCTCTAGTCTCGGGAGGCCTTGAAAGGGGCGAGCGGCGGGAAAGTTAACGGAACAGTGGCATTTGAAAACACATTAGAGACCTCTACTAAATCTCTATTCAATTACATCCCACAGGAAGCAATGACCACTGGTATCGCAACAATCTATAGCTTCGATTTCGCATTTTCTTCCCTTCCTTTCAAGTTCGGGTGCGGCGTCTTCACCGGCCTTGTCACAGCGTAAAACG